GTTCCTGAACCAAGGCCTGATACCCTATTTTCACCAAAAATACCCCAGAATTTTGTACTCGATCAATTATAGATGAATAATATAGCTACATTTAATGTATTGGTATTCTAAATAGCAATCATATCTATTTGGAAGGACTTCTTTGAGGTGACTGCTGAACTTTTTGAAGGGCTCTTGGTTGGACTTTTTGAAGGGTTCTTGTAACTCAAAATGTTGTAAGTCAAGGACTGCCTGTAGTTTGATCCTAGGCCATGTTGGGATCTATGGACTAGGCATTCCTCCATCTATCTTGCTTCAGAGGCCTAATATAGTAGGCAGGGTCAGAGAACTTCTGGATGTAATGCCCCTGTTCTGTGCGGCGTCTGCATAAAACACACTTAGAACATTGCCCTCCTTTTAGCCAATATCCCAGTGGTTTCATGGTCCTGTGCAAGGACTGTCATATGGAGACCAAAAATGTTCATTTATAAGTGAACATTAGTGAGCCAGAATGTGGGAGTTACAGGCTCAACTCCCTCTTGCCTGAGGGGATATGAATTTCTATTTTCTGCTTCCCAAGTCAGTGCTTTAATGGAGGAGTTCTTTCAACCCTTTCTGTTAAAGCTGTTCTGTTTGCACAATATATCCATTAGACAACCATAGAGAATGTGAGCTTGACTTTGGAGACTAGTGGGTTGAGAAGCAGGTTTCATGGCTGTTTTTCTTTTTCAGCGAACACTTAATTGTTCATTAGAGCAAGGGCTAGAATTCAGACCTCCCCTGGAGGTTGTAGTTGTAGGTTGTAGTTCAGTCTCTCTTGCCCAATGAAGCTATTTGACAGAAGATACTGACAACCCACACTAGAATATGCTATTGCCTGGTGGTTAAAGCATTCACCTGGAATGATGAATGTTGTTCTGCACTCAGGAAGAAGAATAACTTAAATCTGGATCTGCCTCTTTGCATTAACTACTGGAATATTAACTGCTTCTTTTTTGAGAACAGCAGTTTGGAAAAAAATGTTTACAATTACTCAGTCCAGAACAAATAAGGGAGAATCAGGTACTGCTATTTCAGGCAGGTCACTGTTGAGATCCAGAATCGTCAGAAATGCTGATTTTTGAGGCATTTGTGTTGGAAAGAAGCCCAGGTAGCTAACTTGGGGTGTGGATTATGGTAGCAAGGCTTTTAAAAGTTAGGCACTGGAATGCTTAGTAGTAAAAGGCCTAAGTCCCTCCCAGGAAAGAACCAGCCAGTTTCTAAACTTTTTTTTAATACAAGGGTTAGAAAGAAGTTTTCAGAACCTGAGAGTATCAAAGGTACCATCAAATGAGCACATGCATTTGATAATTGGATGTTGATTTTAATTTTAGAAGCTTTGTGATATTTAGTACTTCTCCATTAAGCTGCTGTAATTTTTTTTTTTTTATTAGGATCTAAAAAAGGTTACTCCCCAGACCACACCGAAAAGCTCTTTCAGTTTACATTTCTACCTTATTTATAGGATACAGTTACCTTAGCTGACTAAAGCCAAATCAAAGATAATGGGAAAATCCTCAACAGTCCTTGAATTCGCTGTCTTTGACCTGTTTCACTAGCTTAATTCTAGCTTTGACACTGTCCCAACAGAACTGCATTCCAAAATAAGAAAAAAAAATCTGTGTAAGATCTCTCTGAGCCATATAGGATCCCAACTAATTACATGGTCGTAAATGTCAGTCAGAAGATAACTGTTAAACTTATTTCAGAATAAAGCAGTTGGAACCTCAGCATACATTGGGCACTGCTGCAATATAAGTGTAAAAAATGGAAGATGTGCAGATTCTATTGTATTCTCTTCTAGGGGGTGTTTCAGGTGCATTCACTACCAAGATGAGTAACACAACTGAAGTCCACAAAACTTCTCTGGTGAATGAAATCAAGCTCTTTTGAAATCCTCTCCCTCACATTTCTTCATAGACTCAACACATTTTGACTGAAATCTGACTTTTTTGATCTAGAGGTTAATGCATTCTACCTTAATCTGCAAGCAGGTCTAATAACCTGGAAATTTTATAGATTAGTCCCTTGGTATCTCTTTAACAAGAGATTTTCTTCTGACTGTTGAAATTGCTTTCAGTTGAGGTCTTGGAGAGCTCCAGATCTCCATAAACTGAAGTCCACCAAAAATATATCCAGTAAAATAGCAAAAGTTTTGATATCCTGAACCTTTTTCCCGAGGTAAAAGAGGAGGAGAAAACACTTTCAAGCCATCGTCTTACTTTGTCAAACAAAAGGTTATAGAGCCATTTATGATAAACATCTTGAAAGTACCTTATATATTATGTACATTAATGTGCTGGGTTCTTAAACATTCTGAATCCATTGAGGTGTACTTTTATCCTAGTACCAAGTGGTGTCTTGGACCATCATCTTTACTCAGCCTTCATGCAGCTCAGGAATTGCATGCTGCCAGTTGTTTGTAGCTCAGAACCCTGGTGTTTCTGGTAGTTCTAATTGCAGAACACCAGTATTTTCCTCCACTTAATCAGATGGTACTTAGAATACAAAGCTAAATCCATTCTAAAATGAATACAATAATTATTTTTTTACAGCTCATAGGAAATAGCATTGATAGGTACATTCAGTATCAAGACTAGTAACACCACTGAAGCCCACAAAACTTCTGTACAGATGAATTAAATCAAATGCTTTTTTGAAATATTCTCCCTCATTTTTTCCAGAAAAACAGAAATGCCAAGCCATGGGAGGAGGGAGAGATGACAGGTGTGGTGCATACCAGAACTTTTTTTTTCTGACAGCTTGCACCATTAAATTAATAGCTTATAGGTCCAAGAGGTTATATCCTTTAATAGGACAGATGTAAGACAGGCATCTAAAAAACAAACATTTTCTTTTGCTGTTTAGCTAGAAGTGGATAAACAAGCCTCTGTTACACTACCTTATACCAGGAAAAGGCTAACATGAAGAAAGGTGCCTTGTACTCAAAGATTTGTCTAAATTTCTCCCAACCATGCAGTTGATATAAGATCTCACCCATAACAGTCTTTTCTCTTCTACATAGTTCTTGTTGTAGTTATGTTCTGTGGTGCCAAATTATCTGTGTGTAGGGTCACTAGACATCAATATGAAGAATAGGTGACAAACTTATAAAAATTTCCTTTCTCCAGATGCCTCTTGGCATCTACCTACCTTTTCTTTATTGGAATCTCAAGTGCATAGTCAGGCTGTGCAGATGTATGCCAGCCAGCATGGGACTACATTTTTAGCTTATGACTACTTATGACTGTTTCTTGTATATTGTTATTAAAAAAATACGGAAGTGTACTCTAGTTATTTAGAGAAAAAGGTTTAATACCCCACTGGTGACAGACAAACTTGGTTTTGCTATTTTAAAACTCCATGGATCCTTATGTGAGGATCATCAGACTTGAATTGAGGGAAGGTAATTGCTGCAGTATTGCTTCATCAAAGTAACCTTTTTTTTTTTAACAGGAGTAACTTTATATATGGCTCATATTTGAGTAAAGAAGAAATTGCTTTCTCTGATCCAACTCCTGATGGAAAACTCTTTGCAACACAGTACTGTGGCACTGGCCAGTTCCTGGTATATAATTTTCTCAATGGACAACATCACACTTAAGTGGAATTCCTTCAGCAAGTTACTAGAAGACTTCTGCTCAAATGTACTGAATGGGTACTGACCTTAACCAGGAGCTAGGGCCATTTTTTTTTTATCCCAATGAACTCAGGACTGGTAACAGCCAAAAGGTTGTACTATTTTATTACAGTTGTAAACAATGCAGTAATAGGCTAACTTGTTTTTTTAAAGAAGATATTTTGTTAACTTTTACAGAAGTTTATGATTGTATTTTATCTATAGTTAGTCATGTTTACATGCAGCAGATACTTGTTCATAGTGGACTGTAAATTAATGCAAGGACTATGGTCTCACTGATGAGTACATATTGAAGTTCTTAATTTGGTGATATACCAGTGCTCTTTAGTACTGTACATTTTTAGTATTTGACCTGCTACCACCAGTTTGGAAGGTTTTATAAGGTAGATAGAAGATTCTGTTTGACAACATTTAAAACTATATTCAGAACATCAATGAAAGGAGTATATTATGGCTGGGGTTGGCAGCCTATTGCCCATGTTCCAGATCCAGCCTGTAGGACCACTGGATCTGGTTGGTGGGCAAAGGGCTTCAGAGGTAGGGGGTGCCATTTGTGGGTGCTCTCCCATGCTACCATGAGGATGGGCACTGGCTGCCTCTGACTTTGGATAGGTTGTTCCAGCCCAGAGCCAGAAAAGGCTCCCTACTTCTCTATTATGGTGCAGTATTTAATGGTGATGAAATTCACAGATCACATGGCAGGTCCTGGTATGCTTTCTGTGCATTCATGTAACAGGGATGAATTAACCTGGGTCCTTTAGTAACATAAAATATAGGACATTTGCATACTGTTGTTTGTGAAAGATGAACTTAAAACAAAAGAACTGGTGTAAGGACTTCATATTCCTTCAAATGCTGTACTGGGTATATGCCTTTGTTATTGGACTTCATTCTGTTACTTGTCTCTTTCATAAAGCCCTCTTCTTTAAAAGGGTGTATATGTTGAAAAAATGCTGTGGCCTTTCTTGATCTGTATATAATGTAGATTTAAAAAATAAAGTACTTGATAGCTTTTTTTAAAGCAATTCTATGTTGAGGCTGCCAAATTGAATAGGTGTTCTTAGGAGGTTTTGTTTGTGCAGGTAGCTTATTATTCTGATATACAAGTTGTGATTTTTGTGTGGTCTTTGTGGAGGGTGTTACAGTACTATGAACTGAACTCTGCTAAACTGGAGATCAAATGATCATTGTAGACATTCTGTCTTCAGTACAAGTTTCTGGCTGCTGATGCTAGAATTCAGAGCTGTCCAGTCTGCAACCCACAGGCTCCTGCCACTCCCCACACTGCTCCAATGGGGGTCTCTGAACTCTCCCTGATTCCTCCGGCTTTTGTTTCCTGCATCCATCCAGGGATCCCAGGCAGCCAGCACAGCCTCTGGGAGAAGTGTTGGGAGAAGCTGGAAAACCCTTCTACATTTCATTTTGAAGCAGACCGTAAGAGTGGCAGTGGTAATCTTGCCTGTGTAGGGACTGCTATAGAAGTAGGATGTTCTGAGAGAGGGAAAAATGTTGCTTTGACCTTCTAATAAGCTTTCCTTCTGTAAAGCTCTTTCAATGGAGAAATTCTGTATTCACTTCTGTTTCATGGGTTGTCTTGCAGTATACCCTACTGCAGCCATTCCCAAACTGTCATATGGGTACCACCAGGGGTACGCAGACAACCTGGGAGTGGTACATGGAGGGCCGGGGGAAGGGGCATGCATACACACAAGACACCCAGTTGCAGCAGGCAGCCAGGAACAGCAGACAGCCCAGCCATATGTAGAGCAGTGCCCAGCTGGTAAGTGTGGTGGGGGGGGGGGCAGATTCTCTCTCTCTCTCTCTCTCTCCC